CCAGGGGCCCAGTGTGGAGCGGGACGCAGGTGCCACCTGGAGGCACTTCCCTGTGGAAGGAGAAGGGTGTTATATGTGCCAAGGAAGTCACGTTGGGGCTGGGGACCCAGCTCAGTGGAGCGCTTGCCTCGCATCACAAGGCCCTGGGTTCAGCCCCTGGGTTCAGGGCCTTGTTGAGAAATCAAATTTAAGTATGTGATAAACCGAGGGGGTGGGGGTGAGTGGAGGGAGGACCTCTGTCCCACCCAGTGCCCCTAGGCCTGCTCTTCCAGTTGCAAAAATCGTTTTTCATTGGAAAGTCCAAACCCGCCAAAAAACAATGACCCCATGACGCTGTGAAGGTCAGCCCCCTCCTTGGCCAGCCTTCCCAGCCCTGGCCTTGTCCTGGAAAAGTCCCTGCTTCTCTCCGTGTGGCCTCCCCCAGGCCTCAGGGCCTCTTTTTGAAGGGTCTGTCAACCTGCTAGGATGCGTCTTTCTACTCCATGGCTTGGTGATACTGATCCAGCACTTGAGGAAGAGGAATGGAAGTTACGGCTTCCTCCACCTGCTTTGCAGAAAGAGGCTCCTTCCCACCTTCGGCCGCCCGACACGGCGCGCTTCCCACGTGCCCCTCCACATCCCACTGAGTCTCCTCTCGGCTCAGTCCCCAGAGCCCCACCCCTGGAACGCTGCCCGGGCCCTGCCAGGTGCTCAAGACCGGGGGAGCCCTCGGTGAACCTGCACCAACGTCACCTCAGGGCACATGAGCACCAGGTAGCCAGTCACCACTCCACAGTCAATGGTGCACTCATGGGGACACTCTGTGGGCCGGTGACGATGGGATGAGCCCTAGACGTGACTGAGCCCATCGCAGGCACGTGAAACACTCATGAGTGGGTCATGAGTCTGGCTGAACGCTGCGTAAATGTCAGCATCCCTGTGACAATGCTCAAGTGCAGGTGGAGACCAGCTTGGTGCAGGGAAAGGCAGGTGCAAGCGTGTGGAGGTGCGGTCCCTCTACACGGGGCCTGTGGTGGAGCCAGCCTCTCCCATCCTTCTCCTGGGACCTGCTGCTCCCTCATGGGACTGTAAGGGAGGTCCCTCCAGGGCCAGGAGCACTGGGCATGGCCTCCCGGTCCTTCCTGTAGCAGGGACCTGGGCCTCTGTGCCAGGGACACCCAGCCAGCCTGGCTCAGGAGAGGGCCTGCGTACCTGCAGTCCTGCCCCTGGGCCAGCCAGGCCTGTGCTCAGCGTGCCTCACCTTTCAGTGCTCAGACCTGTGCGGCATCGCTGGCCTTGGCTGAGGTTTGTCAGAGTAAAGGGCCTTACGCAATGAATCTCTGCATTTGCTATGAAACCTCCGTGAGGCCACCGAGTACCACGTGACTCTGCCTCTGATAAAACTCTAAACAGGAAACAAATCTTAGAATTTGTTAAACCAAGCTCGGCATGCTTCAAAAAGCCCGCGTGCTGTCCCTGTGAGAAGAGCGGCTCCTGTTCATGAACGCCGCCCGGGCCCCGCGTCTTGCCTCTGTGCAGGCATCGACCCCCCACTGCTCACAGGCAGCCCCCAGGAGCCCCCCTCCCAGTGCAGAAGCCAAGACACAAAAAGACAAGTGAACTGCCAAGCCCAGCAGCTGCAGGGCTGTCCTGCACAGGGAGGCCCTGCTCCTCAGCCAAGGTGGAGTTCGGCTGCAACACGTGGTTATGGTCTTTCTGAACTTGACCTGGGTGTCACCCTCGCACCAACACCTCACTGTTTGCTTGAGCATCTCCTTAGTGTAAGCTCACCCACGCTCTGGGAGATGCAGAGGGACACAGGGGGACCAACAGGATTCTGAGACGGATGCTCCCCGTCTCCGGGGCTGAGAATGGGCCGTGTTCCCAGGCTCTCGGCAGACTGTGGTAGGGACACGTGGCTTAGCTCACGGCAGGGAAAGGTGGCCTTGTGGACGAGCCAGCCCTCTGTACCTGACACTGGTCATTGAACTTGTGTGCCCAAGGCAAGGAGTGCTCAGCCTTTAGCTTGAGACTTTCCGACCCGCCTGGGAGGAGCCGGTCCCTGCTGAAGGGCAGTGGCGCCCTCTTCTGTGGGCTCCTCTGCATCGTGGGTGTGAGGAGAGCTGAGCCTGGGCGGGTGATTGGAGAGCTCCTGAGGGGGCGGTGGTACCCTGCTGCCTTCTGTCCGCATGGTCTTCAATGACAAGGACGGCGTGTGCAGGGTGTGTGGGTGTGGGGTCTAACACAGCCCTGAAAAGGCCCACTGCAAAATAACCTGGTTCCCCAAAGTTTGGACCGATGTGTCTCTAGGTCACTGCGCCCGAGACGTTCCCTTGCTCCTTGTGGAATGCGGCAAACAGCTCCGAGGAGGAGCAGAGCTGTCTGAGCAGAAGGACAGGCGTATTTGAATTGTGCTGCTATTTGCTCAGCTCTGAGGTGTCCCTTCAGCAGGACTTTTACCAGGAGACGAAGTCCACACGACCTGAATGTGCAGCGCTAGGTCTGTGGTCAGCTCCCCCTTCCTTCGCGGAGACGCAGAGGGGCCTGCCTCATTTCAGTTGGGCACTGCAACTCTGAGCACCCAGGTGAGCTGCACGTAGCACACCTGTGGGGACGCAGCCCGGCCCGCTTCCCTTCAGTCCTCCAGGCCAGCTCTCAGACGGGGACCCTCACACCTGGGAAACCGTGTCCTCTTGGGCAGGGGTGGGGGGCTGCCCTAATGGTCTCCTAGCTGGAGGATCAGGGCTTTTTCTTCTTTTTCGTATCTCTGACCCCATTTTTCTGATGAAACGAAAAAAATTTACCAAGAGCTTGGAGAAGACTGTGACGTGGTTGCTGAGGGCACACGGGCCTGCAGACGTCAGTGAGGCCTGCTTTCCTGCCCCACTTGTGAGCCCTCGGGGCAAGGAGAGGCCGTGTGCAGGGGTGGCTGCCGCTCTCAGCAGGAGCACACTGCATCGCACACGCAGCCTGAGGACATCCTGCTCACACTCTCTCACCACACAGCCCAGGTGAGCGGCAGTCTGAGCTTCGCTTTTCTTCCACTCTGCACTTTGAGACGAGTTCCTGTGGCTTCCAGTGAAGACATAGGAATGGGAGATCACCAAGGTCAAAGGCAGAAGACCAGCAGCTCTGAGCCTCTGGTTGGCACCACTGGGGAGTGCTGAGCAGACCGCTGGGGCCAACAAGGCCCCCAGACCCACTGGCTCTTGGCCAGGGGGACGGAGGACACCTGAGGCTGCAGGCCCCTGGGCTCCCCTGCACTGAGCCTACAGGGAATCGAGCGCCAGCTGCGCGCAGCAGGGACACGGCTCGATGGCACAGGGCTGTGGCATGTGACAGGCTGGGCTCTCCACGGTCCTAGGCCCTGGTGTCACAGTAAGCAGGAACAGAGCTGGCTTCTTGTACACGCGGACGTGCGTGTGTGGAGAGACCGAGGAGCTGAGCGTCTCTGGCTCTCACGCTCAACCCCAGGCAGCACCTGTCCACACTGATGCTGGCAGGCTACGGGGGCGGCCGTGAAACAGTGTCAGGACTCAAGGGTCTCCAGGGTCCCAGAAGAGGGTCTGCACAGGGCCCTTTTAAGTGACCACGGCGCACACACACACTTATGTCCCGTGCAGGCCTATCTGTTGATGGTGACAGGATGGCTGCTGTAGTTACACATGTCCCTAAAGCCACCGCTAACGATAGAGATGTGTGTGCTTAACAAGGAACCCCGGTGGACGTTCGCCCGCCGCACTCCCACGAGGTCCCGTCTCTTCTGCGTACACTAGTTCCTTGTGCACCTGGAACATGAGTCAAGAGGCACTGAGGAGACTTGCTCTGCGACGTCTCGGGTGGGTTTACTCTGAACATGGCCAACACTTGGCCTCTCCGTCCAACAGAGACCGTGCCTGGCCTGAGTATTCTGAAGTGCGGGCCACGGTGCCAGGGCACCCACGCTGCTGTCTCTGCCCTCTCCTCTGCCACTCTGCCATGGAAACCCACTCCTACAGGCAGTGCGTGAGCTCGGGAAAGCCCCCACAGTTCAGAGGTCAGCAGGGGTCCACGAAGCGAAGGCTCCTCGTCCTCTGAGGGCCTTTCGGTCACGCGGTTTTCACGGAGGCTGAAGACACGGGAAGTGGCAATGACAAGGCCGTACTTACATGTGTTTTCTCAGAAGAACACAAGTGCAGAAAAGAAGTCAGGAACAGGAGACCTGGGGTCGACTGACCTGCCTGAGAGGGGAAAGTGGAGAGACCTTGGCCTGGACAGAGGCCAGGCAGGGCTCGGCCAGGAGGCGCCAGCCCTGAGTGTCTGCCCCATGGCTGATGCTCCTTCACCCCCAGCAACTCGCTCCCTTTCCCGTGGTGGCCTGGGAGCCCTGCGACCCAGGCACATGGCTGCCGCCTGTTGTCTTCACCGCAGGAGTAGCGGGGGCAGGAGGAGCCCTGCTCCAGGTCAGCCCTCCTGCCTCCCGGGCACCCTGCGGTCCGAGGTAGGTCACCGGGCTTTGGCATCGGGAAGAAAGAACGGATCCCACCACTTGCATACACAGCAGATGAAAGCACACTTCTTCACTCCTGGGGAGCAGGAAAGAGGAATGCCCACACATCCAGGCCACTCGTGCCCAGTGAGGCGCTACGGAAACGAACACACGGCGGCCATGGCCCTTTCCCAACCGCCCGTGTCACTGCGGGGGGCACGCGGGCCGCAGCTCCCCAGAGTGGCACTTCCCCTGCTCTGCAGCTGTTTCAGACAGCCCACGCGCATGAGGATGGGAGAGAGCATGGGAGAGAGGATGGGAGAGAGAGGAGAAGCCCAGAGGCTGGGGTCTGTGTGAGGAGAGGGCCAGAGGGCAAACCTAGACAGGACGAGGTCGCAGGTCACAGTGGTCACTAGGAGATCGGGAGGCCCACTCTCCGTACCCCTTCTCAGCCCACGACTGTGCCCAGGGGAACAGGCCCAGGGTGGCCCATGGGAAGGTGCGTGTGCTCCAGTGCCACCTGGGAGCCTGCCCGGGCCACGTACGTACGTACCGAACACCTCGTTGTCTTCCGAGGACGCCTGGGCGAGCTCGCCAAGATGCCGTCTCTTCCTGGGCTCTCCTCTGTGAGCGTCACCGTCCTGGAAGAGAGCACAACAGAATCCCTCAGCTGAGGAGCCAGGGCGGGTTCCTCCGAGTTCTTTTTAGGGGATGATTGCCTTCTCACATCTGTCTGCAAGCAGCAAAGGGAGTCCTGCTTCAAGTTCTGCAGAGGATCTTTGATTCTGCCATGTTCTCTGCCTGAGCACGAGTTTCTCTGGGTGCCATTGACGGTCTTCGTACCAGAGCAGCTGAGCACCAGCCTGGATAAAGTGAACCAGCTGGGCCTCATCCCTTCCCGGAGGAGGGTGCCCACGTGGCCTGTGACATCCTGGGGCAGGACTGAGTCCTGGGATCTAGACGCTGGCTAACTAGAAGCCAGCTCCTTCTCTGGGGAGAGAAAACAGTGCT